ACCCCCGTGTCGCGCAGAGCCCTGAGGGCAGGGGAGCGCCCTTGCCAGCCCTCATGGCCCAGCTTTTCCCGCCTTTTTCCTTCTCCCGCTTTTTCCAGGCCGGGGTCGGCGACAAGGCGGCTGACCAGCGCCTCAGAGAAACACAAAATGGCGGATGCACAAACCGGCGCCCCTCCCCCTGCACAGGGGCGTCACCGTGGGGCCAGAGGGGAGATCCCCTCCCTGCGCCAGTGCGAGGTTCCCCCATCGCACCCCAGCACGGCCGGAGCCCTTTGGGTGCAGCAAGGCGCTGGGAGCTCATGGGAAGCTAATTATCCAACCCTACCCCCCAATATCAGAGTCCCTGCTCCCCACGACATCCCCCTCCAGCCTGCCAGTCCGGCCGACTCCTCTGTCCCGAGCTGACATGCGGCCCCGTTAAAACGTTCAGTGTTTGCTTGCGCCCAGTTCACCAGCGACCCGCAGGGCTCGGTGGCACCGACCCAGCCGCTCCCTTACCCGTCATCCAGGCTGAGTTTGTCTTCCAGGCCATTCCAGAAGCCAAGCCCAAACCCCTGCGGATCCCCCTGGAAACATTCGCTGGCTGCTGGTTCCACCCGATTTGAATTGGAGCCTCAGCAATTTCGCATCCGCTTCGGTTTTGAGTCACCGTGTCGCAGGGTGGGTGAAGCGCCTTACGGAGGGTGACGTGAATCACATCAACGCCCAGGCTGAGTTTGTCTTCCAGGCCATTCCAGAAGCCAAGCCCAAACCCCTGCGGATCCCCCTGGAAACATTCGCTGGCTGCTGGTTCCACCCGATTTGAATTGGAGCCTCAGCAATTTCGCATCCGCTTCGGTTTTGAGTCACCGTGTCGCAGGGTGGGTGAAGCGCCTTACGGAGGGTGACGTGAATCACATCAACGCCGCGCCCGCAGCAGCGGTGTGGGCATCAGGTGTGGATGAGCAAGGGCCGGAGGGGCGGAACAGGGAGGCGGGGAGCAGTTATTTGTATTGCAATATGCTCTTGAAAGACAGCCAGAGACAGGCCCTGTCCCTAGGAGTTTATCACCTAAGTAGTTCAGCACATTAAAATCCTCATTTTAAAAGTGGGGAAACTGAGGCCAGCTGCAGCAATAGGGCTGACCTCGCCTACAGCCTGTACAGTGGTGCAGGGACTAGAACCAGGAAGCCCCACAAGCATCCAGCAGCACCTCAGCCCAACCCTCCTCTCCTGCCAGCTACTGTGCTGAGAGCGTCCATCCACGCCCCGAGTTTGTGAGGGCTCAGGTGGGGTAACAAGGAGACTGGCTGAAGGGCGAGAGACTCTTTGTGCCTGGGGCACTATAGTTTGGGGGGGCGGATTATGGGGGAGTCAGGCTTTTGGAACCCGGCTGCAGAGGATTCTGGGAGGTCTCCCCACGATGCAACACTCCAGCCTTCGAGGCCTAGCTGACTCCACCCTGAGGCAGGGGCAGAACAGGGATTTTCACCCTGTTTTCCCACATCCGGGGTCCAGCCCTAGGCCCGGCCCCCTGGTCCCTTCCCTCCTCGCTGAAAGCAGCCAGGCCAGAGATGCTCAGTCCGGGCCTCCAGCACCAGGGGGCTACTTCAACCGGATCTCGGAATATTCCGTGGCGGGCGCCTCCAGGGGCTC